TGGCACCTGCTGTTTTGAATGGCTATTTTTGTTTTTATTTAATTGCATTTCACTGGATTTCAGAGACCAATTATCCCTGACTCTCTCATTTTAGAGATGAAGAAATTGAGGCCCAGAGAGAAGAGTTTCCCAAGGTCACACCAAAGAACCAGAATCCAGCCATTCATCTTCCCTTCTGGTGCTATTTCTACAACACTGCCCTAAGCTCTAGAATCTAACTCTGTGCATGTGTCGTGTGGTCTCCACAGGCTGGAAAGCCTCCATGGTCACCCTGGCCACCTCTTTGCCAGGTGTCTATTGCACTTCAGGCTGCACCAGGCAATTCGCCACTTAGTGGCATCATGGCTAGTCATAGAGTGGCAGCCTTGTACAGCAGGAAGGAGTCTGGGATGTGCAGTCAGAAGATGAGGTTTGAAATCCAGAGCCATCAATCAACAGCTCTAAGCTCTTGCAGTCATCATGTTAACCTCTCTGGGACTCAGTGTCTTTGCTTGTACAATGGGGATAACGATCTATTTCTTGAGATTGTTGTGATAAACAAGCGAGACAGCATTTGGAAATGCTCCTTATAGACAGCAAGCCACGGTGTCCGTGTTGCTGTGTCTTTTGTCTCCACGAAGAAGCTCTGCCTTCTCCTTCGTTCTACCCTACAGCATTTAGCAAAGTTCTAGGTGGTGCTTAAAAGAAACTTGGTAAAGACTTCTCTGTTGACGGATTATTATGACCCAAGGACTGTCTGACACTTTAATGCATCAGGAACCCACCCCCAGGCCTTGGGCAAAAGGAAGAGACTGTGAAAGGAACCCATTGGGCCTGGGGGAGGTGAAGAGGTAAATAGAGGGCTGAATGATGAAAAGTAAACTGGATTTAGAAAACAAACTGGAGCTAATGACTGTAGGTGGTGTTAGTCATTCTGTCAAGGAATCTGGGAATACATATGCATACTGATAGGAATTTATTTTGGCTGCTTCTTACTCCAGCATTTGGGAAGGGAGGAAGGGTAGAGGACACTGCAGAATTAGGAGAACTCAATGTTCACCTCCAGGAAGTGCACCCCAGCACTGGGCCTCAACTCCTGAGGATGCCTGTGTCCAAGTTCCACAAGGCCTGTTGGGTAGAAGTGGGGTGAGGCTGTCTGTTGGATCTGGCAGAAGCTGAGTGAATGCGATTCTAAGAGAATGGCTCCTAGCTCCCAGTCCATGAACAGACACAAGGAATAGAGACTGCAAGGCTTTGAGACTGTGTGTGTCCCAGGATCTCTCTTATTCCTCTAACACACAAAGCTACTCTTCAGGCCAAGCTGAGTCAGGGAAACTCTGAGAAGTGTCTTGCATCCCTGGGACGACAGGCTGCACCCCATTTCCTATGGAGGAGGTTCAATGGGCCCCACCTTGTGATTCTAGCTTCAAGCACCTGGTTTCCTGTCATCTAACTGGAATCCCTCACTGCTTTTTGAGTTAGTCTCCTTTTGTTTTTATACTAAGTACAGAGAAGAGAGGCTCACCACTGTCCATTGTAAATGGGTCCTTGCATCAGTTATCAAGGCCTAGGCCAACTTGACCTTCTCCTCAGGCTGAGTGACCCTAATCCCACCTGGGAACTCTTCTGATCTGCCATGATGATTCTATTTAGCAACCATATACCCAGAAGTGTGCCAAGGAGACTGGGGCTTGTAGCCCAGTGGAAAAGTCAAGGGATATAGACAACAGAGTAGGCTGGCCAGCAGGGCTCAGGAGAGCAGGCATGGCCTTGAGGGAAAAGTAAGTCCCCAAGGGGGGGCAGGAGGAGTTCAAACTTTCTCCACACTTGGGGTACTGGAGTGATATTCATGGATGAAGTGCAGCCTTGATGTACAGCAAAATGCACCAGGCACAGTCATTCTCACCACACAGAGACATGAAACGGTGTGTGAAAATATCCTTAAGCACCTGCTGGGAACTCTCTGGGAAATCATTCATCTGCCCCGTATGTCAGTGCCTTGACTCTAAAATGGAAACAAAGAAGTTTGTACAAAGGACCTTAAAAATGTTCAGACCCTTCAGCCCGGTGACTCTACTTCAGGGAGTCTAGCCTAAGCAAAGCAACAAGAACGTGGGCAGAGATGCAGGTACAAAGATGTTCATCACAGGGTTATTTAAAAGAAGGAAGATGTAGAAGAATCCAAATGCCTGTGATTAGAATGGCTTGTGTTCTCTCTCCCCTCCCCCCATAGAATGATGGGATCACCTGTTCGGGAAGCCGTGACCTGACTCTGCAGTAAGTGACCGGTACCAGTGACCAGGTATCACATCAGTGCTTCTGTCCAGCTCTTCTTGATTCCAAGGAACCATGAAATCCACCATTTTTCACCTTTTCATGACCCAAGTGTGGATTATCTTCCGGGGTTTTTCTACTGCAAATGGTGACTGTAGACTGGTTTTCTCTTGGCCTCCCAAGATGCATCTGGCCCCCACCCTGCACCATCTGCCAAGGTTGCTCAGGGGTTCCAAGAGCTGGAAAGACTCTTGGAAAGCACATAGTCTAACCCCTTTGAGGTGAAGGAACTTCTCACATTGCTTATTAGTACAAAGCCATGGTGAACATCCAGACCACCTGACCCCTAGCCCAGTGCTCAGTTTATGCTGGGACAAACTGAATTAGAAAATGAACCAGTTATCTTCAGAATTACCCATGATCCAAGTCCTGGGTCTGCATGGACTATCCACATCCCCATCTCTGAGCCAGGAAAACATCTTGATGGCGTACAGGGTCCACATCTGGAGCGGAAATAGGATCATCCTTCCTGCATTCCTGGGTGCCCTGACCTTTCCTTCACATCATTCTGACACTTTATTGGTTTTCAAGAGCAGCTCAATTTTTTTCTCTGGTGCCAGCACCGTCCTATCCCTGCCACTCAATTCTGGTCCTCTCATGGGTGATTGTGAGTAAAGGGAGATGATCTAGCCTATGGCCCTCATCCCTTGGAGAAATTTAGAGACTTGAGCCTGGGCTGTAGTTCCTCCCTGGGAACCCCACCTGCCCACCCAGTGGTATATAAACCCACAAGTAAGCAAGAAGGAAAACCGTCTCCATGCTCATCTCTCCTCTGTCCTTCCTTTGCATCCTCCCATTTCGACTACATACCTCCATGTACTTGCCTCCTGCTTTCTCTTTCCTTCTTCTATCGCTGACCTCCTGTTTCTGCCTGTCTTTTATTGAATTGGTTCCCTTCTCCCCAGGGTTGGCCCGCCCTGATACACCTCGAGCTTCATCTGGGCCTCATACTTTTCCCCTCCCTGCCCCCCCCACCCCAGGCTCTCCAGAATCTCTGCAGGGAAGCACCTGTCTTCAAGGATCTGCAGCATGCCAATCTGACAGTTTCCCTGAGCACACATGAAAAGGGTGTCCAGCACACAAAGACTAGCTGCCTGGGTTTCTGCAGATATGAACTCATCCATGTGCACAGACAGAAACGAGACAGGGTCTTATGGATCTCAGGTGATGGATCCAGCTGAGCCAGTCTTGGGCTTCAGAGACACATTCACATGCCACATGTGCCTCCCTGTGGGTAACTGGGACAGGTGCATGGGATATGTTAGCCACCAGGAGAGAAGAGATGGATTGAGACATTCTTCCTGCCCCTGGATTTACCAGCTGGAGTACCAGCAGGAATCTCAAAATTTCACTTCCTTCAGTGGGAAAGGTACACGTGCCTCTTGGGGAACCCAGTAGGGCAGAATACAGTCCTACCTTTCCCAGTAAGGAGTTGTGGGCAGAAAGGATAATCAAACAAGATGAGACCCTGGCCAGACGCGGTGGATTCTAAGCCCAGTGGGGTTTGAGTCGGGATTCCACTACCTACCACGTGCCTTGGACAAGTCGCTTTACTCTTCTGGGCCTCAGTTTTCGCCTATGTCAAATGGGGTTTGCTGGAAAGATTCAATCAAACAGGCGAAGAGTTGTAAAGATGCCGCGCAAACGCTTGCCGCCACTGCATACTTCACGGATAAACATGAAAGTCAAAATGTATGAGTGTGTGGGCAGCGGGCGCTCGGTTTTTCCGTAGGTCCCTTGCCAGGGTGCGGGAATCTGACCTGGGCCCCAGGCCTGGCGGGGTGCGATTCTCCCAGCCCCCACTCGCAGCCGGGGGCCGGCGCGGTCGGATGTTCCTCCGGCAGGCGGCGGGCTGACGGCTGCACAGCGCGCTAGGCACGTGAGGCGGCAGCACCGGCACCGGCTGCAGCAGCGCAGCCCGGACCGCCCGGCTCGCCTTGCGCAGGGGCTGCCCGTACCGCGGGGCCGCAGAGCTCGCCTTCCCGGGTCCCGGGGCTCGCGACCCTGCCACCGCCCTCTTTGGCCGCGGCCCCATCTGGCTGCCGCCCCTGGGTGCGTCCCTGCGCCACCCTTGCGGGGACCGCGAGCACCCCAGGTGTGGGCAGCGGCGTTGGCCGGCGCGGAAGGGAGTGCGCTCGGCGCGGGCCGGGCCGCGGGCGCGGAGGCTGGCTCCCGGGGTG